ATCAGTGGGATTGCTGGATCCCATGGTAGGTCTATTTCATTTTTTTAAGGAACCTCTGTACTGCCCTCCATAGTGGCTGCACCAATCTAGACTCCACCAACAGTGTGGAAGGGTTCCCTTTTCTCCACACCCTCTGCAGCATCTGTCATCTGTAGACTTCTCAATGGTGGCTATTCTGGCTGGTGTAAAGTGATATCATGTTGTAGTTTTGATCTGCATTTCTGTGACAATTAGCGATGCTGAGCATTTTTTCATGTGTCTGTTGGCTATTTGTATGTCTTCATTGGAGAATTGCTTGTTTAGGTCTTCTGCCCATTTTTGGATTGGGTTGCTTGTTTCTTTGATATTAAGATGTATGAGCTATTTGTATATTTTGGAAATTAGTCTCAGTCACATTGGCAAAGATTTTCTCCCATTTTGTAGGTTGTCTTTTCGTTTTGTTCATGGTGTCCTTAGTTGTGCAAAAGCTTTGAAGCTTAATTAGATCCCATCTGTTTGTTTTTGCTTTTATTTCCAATACTCCAGGAGCTGGTTCAAAAAATGTCTTTCTGTAATGTATGTCTGCGAGTGTTGTGCCTATTTTTTGCTCTAGGAGTTTTACAGTATCTGGTGTTACTTTGAGGTCTTTTATCCATTTTGAGTTTATTTTTGTACATGGTGGAAGAGAATGTTCTAATTTCAGTCTTCTACAGGTAGCTGTCCAGTTTTCCCAGCACCACTTATAGAAAAGACTGTCTTTTCTCCATTGTATATTCTTGCCTCCTTTGTCATAGGTTAATTGACTAAATAGGCGGGTTTATTTCTGGGCTTTCTATCCTGTTTCATTGATCTGTGTGTCTGTTTTTGTGCCAGTGCCATACTGTTGATTGCTGTAGCTTTGTAGTATAGTCTGAAGTCAGGGAGCATGATTCCCCCAATTCTGTTCTTCTTTTTCAAGATTGTTTTGACTATTTGGGGTCTTTTGTGTTTCCATACAAAGTTTAATGTTTCTTGTTCCAGCTCTGTGAAGAATGTCGTTGCTAATTTGATGGGGACTGTATTGCATCTGTATGTTGCCTTGGGCAGTATGGCACTGAGGCCATTATTTCTTCAAATATTTTATTTACTACCCCTACTTTCTCCAGGTACTCGAGTTCTACATGTATTAGTCTGCTTGGGGTTATCACACCGCTCACTGTTGTGCTGTTATTTAGTTTTCTTTCTTTCTTTGCATTTCCTTTTGGATAGTTTCTATTATCATGCCATCAAGTTTATCAATATTTTTTCCTGCAGTTTCTAATCTGCTGTTAATACCATCCTGTGCATTTTTCATCTTAGATACTGTATTTTTCACCTCCAGAGGTTTGCTTTGAATTTTTCTTATATGTTCTATGTGTTTACTTAGCATGGTTAATATTTTTCTATCAGTAACATGTGGAATATGGTTATAATAGCTGTTTAGTGTCCCTTTTGAATAATTTTTTAGTGTAAAGCCATACATGCTATTTCTAGTTCAGTTTCTTTTCTTTAAGTGTCAAGTATTGTGTAACATAGGCAAAATTATTTAAGTCAATACATTTTTTAAGAATTTCACATGTTCTGATTCCTTCCACTGCCCATCACCCCATCACCTTTGCTCCTCCAGTGTTTGAGTTGTAATCTTCAGGAAAGTCCTTTTAAAAAGAATTTTTGCTCAGTCAGCAGTTGTCATGTCAGTCAGTTCATAATTGTTTTAAAAATTGGGCTTCTTTCATCTCCAGTGGAACATGGACACACTTCAAAAACTCCTCACCTGTAATCTTTGGGATCCAGTTTCCTCAACCAGTTTACTTCAGGACTATTAACGTATTTGGGGTCAGGGAAGATAGATCTGCCTGGTTCTGAGTTTTAGACACTCTGAACATGCATTAAGTTCCAATCATGCTTACTCCTAAGCTTATCACACCCTGGAGCAGTACTGATTGTTCGGATATGCCAGCACCTAAGATGAAAGAGCTTGTTAGGTTTCTCATAGTTTATTTAGCAGCTCTGTCTTGTAGTTCTTTCCCACAGATCTAAGACATAGTTCTGTGAGGAAAGGAAACCACATAGTTACCCTATGAGGCATTTCCAGCGGTGTAGGTCTACAAAAAAGCCCCATCGAGTGTTCCTTTTTAAAAACTTGAAGTATAGTCAGTTTACAATGGTGCACTAATGTCTGGTGTGCAGCGGAATAGGTCAGTCATCTATATACACACATAGATTCATGTTCATGTTCTCTTTCATTATAGGCCACTACAAGTCATTGAATATAGTTCCCTCTGCTGCACAGTATAATCTTGCTTTTTATCTCTTTTATGTGTAGTAGTAACTGCAAATCTTGAAGTCCCAATTTATCCCTTCCCACTACCGGTAACCATACATTTGTTTTTAGTTCTGTTTCTATTGATTCATTTTTCTGCTTATTAAGGGTACCTTACCTCTAATGGTGCTAATAAAATAATGTTGCCTGGGTGGCTTAAACAAGAAATTTATTTTCTCACAGTTCTGGATGCTAGAAGTCCAGGTTAAAGTTCTGGCAGAATGAGAGAGCGAGAGCGAGAGAGCGAGAGAGCGAGAGAGAGAGAGAGAGAACACACACAAGTTCTAATGTCTCCTCATCCTCTTAGAAGGATCCCAGTTCCATCCGATTAGGGCCTTAGGTTTAGGACCTCATTTAATACTAATTACTTCCCCAAAGGTCCAAATACTATCACATTCAGTCCACAGTATGGGTGCTATTTTTTTTTCTTTCTTTGCATTCCTGGTAATTTTTATTAGAAGTCAAACAATACAAACTTTACTTTATTGGGTGCCAGCTATTTTTATGTTCTTCTCAATATCCTTAAGCTTTGTCCTGGGATGCAGTTAAGTCTTTTGGAGACAGCTTGATATTTTTGAAGCTTTCTTTTAAACTCTGGTAGCGCTAGACCAGAGAAACCTTTAGTTGAGAGCTCATTTTGCTCCCCTCCTGGGGCAGTAACCTCCTTTGTGCGTCATACAATGTTCAGGGGACTGTGAGGTGGTGTACTTTGGTGGGGGGGAACGTTTTTGGCCCTGCGTGAGCTCCAGGAATTGTTCCTTCTGCTCCTTTTAGGTGGTTCTTTCTTTGGTTTTTGGTAGTTTCTTCATTCCTGTGCCCTGATTAGTACTGGGTTGCAGAATTTTGAAGCTTTTTCTCTGTAGCACCATCTCCTCTGCAGGACTTTGCTCGGTGAGTTCTGGGTGCCTTGGACTCCATAGACTCACAAAACCACCTCCTCAGTGAAGGGAGACCACCAGGCTCTATCTGGGTTCCCCCTTCCTGTGCTGGGGCTGGGAATGCGCTTTAAGCAGTGAGTCAGGGCAGTGGTCAGGCTCATTCTCATTTGTTGCTCATCACTCAGGGTCCTAGTCCTGTGCTGCCTGATGTCCAGTGTCTGAAAAATGGTCGTATATATATGTTTTTAAAATTTTTTGCAGGATTATGTTTTTAGCTTTTTCAAGTGATGCTTGCCTGTTTGAGCATGAAAATTTCTTTTAGAATCCAGGCAAGTTCTTCCCAGTGTTTTCTTCAGCTTAGTCTCTCCCTATAGAAGATGCTTATGACCTTCGAATGCTGAGATGACTGAACTGAATGAAATGCTCCTGCTCATGAGGCCCAATTATGTGTGGAAAAGGGATGTTTGGCTATTTGTGGATTTGACCACCTGTTTCTGATAGTTATTAAAAGATAACTTAATAAATAGTATGTTTGTATATTAAACATTTTTTACATATAGTGCTTCATAAAGCCGCTCATTGTATCCCAGTTCATCTCCAGAGCCCTTGAGATATTTTTCTGTGTCAGAGTTTCCTGTTCCTCTCTGCTGATAGCCTTACATGTTGATGGCAATCACAAAGGATAGAGTGAACTATAGACACTCTGACTAGTCACTTATTCATTGTACGTTTTTCTGAAAAGACTCAAGTAATATTTCTGACCCTGTATTCATAATTTTTAGTATTCCCCACAATGTGTTTGCTATCAGAATTCTTTACAAATGGAAATATAATAAAAATTCTGAAGTTTATATCCAGAAATGGATGTTTTCTCTACTAAAGTCTCTGGAATGCAAATAGTAGGAAATCCTTGCAATGTTTACTTCCATTTTTCAGTTACCAGCCAGATAGAGAGAGAACAACTTACTGTGATCTCACTGAGATTAGGCTCACACACCATCCTGAACTTTGGAGAGATCACGACGCTAAGTAACAGAATAGTGTGTACACTTAGGAAACTAGATAGTGTCTTTTCACATAAATGAGGGAGGCGGGCGTAAACATTTTCTTTCACCTGGTGTAACACTGTCATCTTCCTTTTATCTCTCAGTGTTGGAAGATTTGAAAACCTTGAAAGTGGCTGAAGAAACAAAACACAAGAGTCACCTGGAAACCAGCACCTGGGAAAGTCATCAGCTACTGTGTTGTGTATCAGCCCCATGGGGGCAGGAGACAGCTGGTGGGCTGAAGTGCCACCCACAGTCACCTCCACGTGTTAAAGTGGCTTCAGCCCCAGACCACGTACGACATCACAGTTCTCCCAGATTACAAGAGAGAAGAGGGGAAGCTTAGGCAAGGATCAGGAACGACAGGTACAAACTGATAATTTAGGGGGGAAAGTGAGCAATGTTTTAAAGGGCAATTAATGCATCTGCTTCCTTTGTAAATGTCTGAAACTGATTCTGTGATGAATTACATTGTAATGTTTAGATAGGATGCCTAAATAGCACGTGATTTTTACCGGTCTAGTTCCTGCTGAAATGATTCTGCATATCAATGTCCTCATGCTAATCTCTCTTCTGAACTGTGAGTGCCCTTTATACTTCCACTTGGGTAGCACTGTGTTATGATCATTTTCATTGCTTATGATAGCTTCCGCTTTCTGACTTAACCCCTTTTATAAATACAGACTTTGAACTGTTTTGTATGTAATGACTCCTGTGTGTATCCCTTAGATGTTTTGAATTCACTGTACTATTATCAGGCACTTAAGTGCTCATAGAGACAAGAAGAGCTTGCTGTAGGCTGTGGCAAAGTTACCTCACAAAGGAGGCAGGGCCCTCACAGGTGAATCAAAGTGTCTGGCTCGCTTGGAGCTCTTGCTTGTGGTCCAAACTTATGGCTGAATTACTATGTGATGGCTTCTCTTTTAAAAATCCCACTAGACATGGCTTTGAACTTCATTCGCCAACAGAGCTTCAAGACCCAAGCTGGCATGAGGCGTCGAGCTCGAAAAATTGGTGTTCTCATCACTGATGACGTTGAGGCCCCATCAAAGCAACTCAAGTATAAAGGCATGGAGCCGTTTGCTGTTGGTAAGCACTGAAGAGACTGGCTGTGCCCCCGGGCGTACAAGTGTGCTGAGGATAGTTTTGAAGTTAATAACATTTTCTGAAGCATGGACAGACAAGCAAACACATTTTTCCCTATTACATAATTTATCAAAATGCTGTGCCAGGACGTTAATTCATTTTCTTCTTTTCTCCTTGTAATGACCTGAAACTCTGGCTTCTTGGAAGAGAGTAATGGGTCAAGAGGACAAATAGGATTCAGGAAAGTTTCTGTTTGACTTTCCACAGCACTGTGATTACTTTTAATATCTGTTATTTTTAATTTACAGAAAAAACACTGAAGAGACACTTTTTGGTGGGGAATTGGTGCTAGGAGCATTTAGGAGGATCTAAACAAAATAGACTTTGGTTGATATTATTTTTTGTGTCTATTTTATAACTAGAGATATGTAGTCATCTGATTATTGAGGAACATCATATCTATGTTCTAGTTAATACTGAATACATAGGGGTAGCCCGTGAAATGTTTGCTTTATTCCATTGATTTTTTTCTGAGACTTGTTTTTTGATTTGTATGCATCCATTTTCCCAAGGTATTAAAAATGCTGATGAAGCTAAGTTAAAAGATGACTGCAGCAGACCCCGATGATCCCCACACATGCAACTGGCAGATTTTGCGTCCCTCTCCAGGATCCTGGATGACCTCACCCTCAACTTGTGTAACAGCGTCAGAAGTCCAGGTAAGGTTAGCCCAGGGTTTGTCACCCTCACCATGTTTGATATTTTGGTCCAGATAATTCTTTTTTGGATGGAGAGAGTGGATTCTTTTGTGCATTGTGAGATGTTTAGCAGCATCCCTGGAATCTGCCCGCTGGATACCAGTAGCATCCCCTGAGTTGTGAAATTTGCTTGCCTACTTATCCTTGACCCGCCTTGAAGACCTTTATGGACTGTTCTTGTACTGTCTCATCACCAGGATGAGCAGGCTGGTGATTAGCTGTCATGTCCCTGCAGGTTTAATGTAACTGACTGTGATCGTACACTTGTTGTTTTGGCTTCTTTAAATCTTTGTCCTTACTGAACATGCTGAGATACTCTTTTATTTAAATAATAGATTATTGTTCATTCCTTTGTTTTGAACATTTGTTGCACAATGTTGGGATGGTAAGATTTTGGTCAAAGTTTGTGAAGATCATGCTGAAATTTCTAGGGAGCAATTTTTTTTTTTGCCACAGATGTTTCCCTGGGATAATTGATAGATAATACATTGGAGAAATACTCTAATATAATATTTTTAAAAAAGAGCTTAACTTGGGTAATCTGGGGCTGACACTTAAATTGTTGATTGATTTTTTTTATTTTAGTGTCACCCAGGATAATTGAGATTAACTCTAGTTTCCATCTGAATTACTGTGAATGTTAATTGTGAGATGGATGCGTATGTGGATTGGGGAGACTGTTAAACGTGGGTGGAAATGTTGATTGGAGAAACTGTCCTGTACAAGTAAAGACTCAGGCTTTATTTACCTTAGATGTATGAAGCAGCTGCCAGAGCTCAAATTCATGCTGTGAGAATTTAATTCCAGTTTAATTTAACTGCACCAATTTCATTGCAGTTATTTCAAGTGTTTTGTTTGTGTCTGGTTTTCTAAGAACCTCATTTAAGAATGTTTTTTCAGGCTTTTGTGTATTTTTTATTTGAATAATTAATAGATATTTTGGGGGAAGTGTGGATCGCATTTAAACATTATACTTACTGGTTGTAAAAACAATTTTCCAACTCTTGCTTTTTGTTAAATAATCAGAACAGCTATTGGAGTTTACAGGAGCCTATTTCTGTTGTATTGGGTTTCTAGCCTTTTAGGCAGAGTATAAACATGTGCCCAGTTTGTTTTTCTTTCCATATCTCCCTGAAAAGACCCACTGATTTGAAAAGAAGAGCTTCCCAGCACAGCTGTTAAGTACAACTGTGGTGATTCCCTGCCCCCCCTTTGTGCTTTAGTGCAACCTTTATTATATAACCACAAAAAACTGGGAAGAGAACTGTGCACTGCAGATACTAGACCTGCACTCTAAGTGAAGTCTTTGATAATAAGAGCTCCCTAACCCTCTTGATTGTTTTATTTATTTATGGAAGG